ATGACGGGAGCGTAGGTGGCCAGAGGGAAGTGGATACGGGGATATGGCACCAAGTTGGTCTGGAACTCTGTCAGATCGACATTGAGGGCACCATCAAAACGGAGGGAAGCAGTGATGGAGGACACAATCTGACCGATGAGCCTGTTCAGGTTGGTGTAGGAGGGACGCTCGATATCGAGGTTCCTGCGGCAGATATCATAGATGGCCTCGTTATCTACCATGAAGGCACAGTCAGAGTGCTCCAGGGTGGTGTGGGTGGTCAGGATGGAGTTGTAGGGCTCCACCACAGCGGTGGACACCTGGGGGGCGGGGTAGATGGAGAACTCCAGCTTGGACTTCTTGCCATAGTCGACGGACAGACGCTCCATCAGCAGGGAGGTGAAGCCAGAGCCGGTGCCTCCTCCGAAGCTGTGGAAAACCAGGAAGCCCTGAAGACCAGTGCACTGGTCAGCCTGAAGACAGACAGAGAGGCAGATTAAATATGAGACAATATTATGATTTAGTTTGATGTTTTCTGTCAAAATGAACTGATGCAAAGTTACCCACCAGTTTGCGGATCCTGTCCAGCACCWGGTCGATGATCTCTTTGCCGATGGTGTAGTGTCCACGGGCGTAGTTGTTGGCAGCATCTTCCTTTCCGGTGATCAGCTGCTCAGGGTGGAACAGCTGGCGGTAGGTTCCAGWGCGYACTTCATCTGAAGAGACAGAGTCAGTCAGAAATGACTCAACACTTTGATTTRAGGAAATCAGAGTCACCCTGKTTTCTACATTTCATGACAGTTTACCGATGACAGTGGGCTCCAGGTCGACGAAAACAGCTCTGGGGACGTGCTTCCCAGCTCCGGTCTCACTGAAGAAGGTGTTGAAGGAGTCGTCTCCTCCTCCGATGGTCTTGTCGCTGGGCATCTGTCCGTCCGGCTGGATCCCATGTTCCAGGCAGTAAAGCTCCCAGCAGGCATTGCCAATCTGGACTCCGGCCTGACCAACGTGGATGGAGATACACTCACGCTGTGGGGAAAAAATACAAATACATAAATACACATTATACACCTGCTATAATTTATTATAATAGGATGAAATGTCAGTTTAATGTTAAAGACTAAACTATTTCAGTTGTGTGATTTCTTATTCAATTAGCAGCAGCCAATCACTGACTGACGAGCTCTGTGCCTCAGCGTCTGACTGGTGCATTGCGTTTCTCCTGCGTTGCTGTGGACAAACCCTTCACTTGGCAACAGGAACTTAATGGACATGATAAAAGATGAATCCTCTCGTAGAAAAAAAAAAAAGACAATTCAGACATTTATATTTTAAGTAACTGCAGTTTTAATAGTATTTCATTGTGTTGTTTCAGTGGATGTCTCTGATCCACAGTTTTACTCTGTAATAAAATAACAGTTAAACAGAAGCTGCTCCATCAGTGTCCGGTACCAGCATGAATCTTTAATGTCTGTCGCTGACAATGCATTTAATCGCCCCCCCACCTCCTCCCCCCTCCTCGCTCCTCGGGTGGTTTCTCGCGGGGGGGGGGGGGCTCTGCTTCTGCGCATCCTCCGGTACGGTGCTCTACCAGGGCGGCGCTGGCAGGAGCCATACCGGGGCAAAGACACACCGAGGACCGGATAAAAGCGATGAACCGCAGTCCGGTACCGGAGCCGCCGTTCTGAATTCATTCTGTCCGCAGGGCGACCCTCTCCGGTCCGGTGTGCCCGCCCGCAACGTCCCCACAGCCCCGCGTCCCCCTCCCCGGTCCTCACACCACACAACCATGTTTCACACCGACATCTTCTGCTTTGACACTAAAATGGAGTCAACATGTTTTCATCCGCTCTCACTCCCTCCTTCACACCACCACCCTCCTCCTCCTCCACCTCCTCCTCCTCCTCCTCCTCTCCATCCTCCCTGTCCAACATGGAGTCAGTCTGTGGAAGCTGTTTAAAGGTCTCTTACCATTTTGAGGAGTCGAGTTGAGCAGGAGCGGTGAAGGAGAAGAAGAAGATGGAGGGTGGTGATCTTACACTTCGACGACAATGAGGTCGATGTAAGAGATAATGGCGCAGACGAGGATGGGCAGACATTTATATGGGAGTGAAGCCCCTGCTCCCGGAGGCTGCTGCAGCGCCATTGGTCGCTTGCCTGTCACTCAGGCGTCTGGAAGCTGTCCGAGGCTTCCCATTGGCTGAGCGGCTGTCGGGCCGAGGAGACCGCCTCCCAGACCCCACCCTGGTGCCGTCATTGTGCTTCCAGCATGGCGGCTCCTATTAGGAAAGTGCTGTGTAACGTGAAGCCTTATTTTAAACACAGGGACCTCTTGAACCAACTTTTATTATTATTATTATTATTATTATTATTATTATTATTATGAGATAACTCTGCTTTTACTTTCCTTCTGTGTGGGGTTTTGTTTTCATTATTTGCTTCGTTGTTATTTGTGTTTTCAGCAGAATTATTTGCTTAAAGAAAACAGAAGTGGGCCATGTGTGTATTTTTATTTGTGTGTATTTGCAATATGATTTAATGAAAGAGAACAAAAAAATGCCCAGTCTGCGAATTTAAATTATTATTATTTTTTAAATTATTGCACATCGACTTCGATTCTTCCCCGTCTCTGTCTCGAAATATTTTGTTAGGCCCTGGTCACACATGTACGGTGGTCGAGAGATTGCTCAAAGCACTGCATATTAAGAAAACACAAGCAAATAGATAAAAAACACTTGTGCAAATTAAGAAAACAACCTCATTGATTTGACGACACATGAGCTGCAAACAGTCACAACACATGCACATATAGAAACGTGTGGTGAAAATAGTGAAAACTGCACCAGAATTGTTTCCAGGGGACTCAAAAAAATCGCCCTGCAATTACACTGCTGAAACACTAGTGGCAGTAGTGAGTCTATGCTGGTGTTGAGTGTCTTCCGGTTTCTATTCCGATTATTTCCTCTGGCGTCTCTGTTTACTTCAGAACAATGGAGAGAGGATCATGTCGGAGTTGGAGCTAACAGATATCAAAGAGGAATGAAGAAAATCAAGACGTCGTCCGTGGTCATACCTACATCTCAATTCAAAAATGGCGGTAGTCTGCGACGCCTTGTGTTTATGTTTTGGGGGAGGTGCCCGTCAGGGTATGGCGTAGGGCTGTTTGTAGCGTACATGTCTTCATGTTGGCTGCAGCGTAGCTTCGACTCAAAAGCATGAACTGGGCTTTACTCTCCCACAAAAACAATGAATATGATGCTTTTTAATTTGAATGTGTCGCTTGTTAATCTCAAATCTACACATAGTAACTCAAACCCATCCTTTCTAATTTGTGAATATGAAATCAAAAAATACTAATTCGACACTTGAGCGATTGAAACCTGAATGTGTGTTCCCAGTGTGAAAAATGTTTGTGAGTCTGACTTTTTGCGACCCTGTCCCCTGGATGTGTCACTGCCTGAAATGACCCTCGTCCAAATCTTATAAATAAAAATAATGCACACACACAAACTAATTCCTTAAATAACTTGTAACAGAGTTAGACACAGTACAATAGAACAGATGCAATGTGGTAATATAACATCGTGAGAACTATTGTCAGATGACACAAAGATTCATAAACATTTGCCTATAATATATAATCACAATATCAAGAAACATGTACCCGTAGCTTAATACAAAATAATATATTGTGACACCTGTGACATCTCAGTTTGTCAAGCGTCCACCAAATGAGTGAACAGTCGCTGTGTGTACATGGTGGATCGTGGTCTTTGTTTCTGGTGTGGAAGTAGATTTTACAGTAATCTGCTTCTCAGTGGTCTCTGGGTAAAAGAGGTCAGACTGCCCCGTCACAGACGAGGGGCATGTAGGCCACAGAGAGCCACGGGCGCCCAACCCCCAGCCCCTCCTCCCAAGATTTAACGGTTGCTAGGAAATGAATAACTGAGTTGCCTGGACACAGCCTGGTATCCACATAGACCCCCTTTATCTGGTGGTCACGTGGCCCCCGGCTTAAATAGCCGCATTAGCGGGTTGTACTGCAGCTGCCTCTGTGGGGGGATGTGAGGCGTCTCAACCACCTAGTTCCCAAAATCTGTCACCCTGATGTCCAACGTCCCACTCCCACTAAATGCATTAAAACATACACTTTCAGAAGGAGGATAGGGGTGTGGCGTCTGCGGCACAAGATAGTATTGACGCGGCTCGGCTCTTTTGTTTGAACATTTGTCGAGGCAGCTGCAGCTCATATAAAAGCTCACTCTTTCGGGAGACAGTAATGTAACTGGATGTGCATAAAAGCTCTGTTAGTGTCTGTCTCAAACAATTATCTCTCAGCCAGAAAAGACCATAAAATGTTCTTCGTGGGAACGGAAAACTACAGTCAAACACCTTGGTTGCTAACAACAAAGGGAACTCTATGACAACGGTTGCCCCCAGGGGGAGAGACGATGCCTCTTTGAGTGCAGGGCAGTTTAAAACTACCCAGAGATACACAAAGAGGCTGATGCCTGTGGTCGCCTGCAGGAAACCTGGAGCTGCTGTCTGTGTTACGCTGCAGCCGGGGTGAAACCAGCTGATGAGCATCGTCTCCTGGAGATGATGAACAGTGTCTGGTGAGAAGCAGACTTCAGTTAATTGGTCTCTGAGCAGGTGGAGTTCACTGCTGCACTACAATTCAGATATACAGAGGAGCCAATATGTCCAACATCCCTGAGAGCAAAGCTTAACATCATTGAATATATTTAGAAAACTGTTCATTATTCAAGTATAGTGAACAAATTCCCTTGGCTTCCCTTGGCCCCGCCCTTGGATTTGCCTCGGAATCAACTCCAGCTGATCTGATAATAAATAAACCAAAGTATTTTATAAGGTCGAGGTTCTGGTGAATCTTTCTTTAATATTTCCAGGTTTAAAAAAAGATCTACATCTGATTCCTTTCCCTTAATGTCGCTTACAATCTGCCAGAGTTCGATAGTTTGTCTTTGAGCAGCATCACATGGACGAAAAAACTACTGGATAAGATTCTCAATAAACCTGGTGGATGGATGTGAACTGGGTCAGGGAGGAACAGACACAGCCATAGAAAATAATGATGCAGAGGGTGCTGCAGCGCCCCCTGTCGGATGGCAGACCGCCTGCACATTCACAACTATAAATAAAAAAGAAATGTAATTTAAATTATTGAGTCATTTTGACATGAAATAGTGGAAAACATTAGAGATATTAATGATCACATTCAAACAATTTCAATTTATTTCTTTGCATGGAATTAATTTCTCTCTCTCATTCCTCAGTTTATTCTTGATTCTGTTTTAACTTATAATGTGATCATTGCACGTTTTCACTTTCTTCATCCTTCCACCTCTCTAAAGGAAACAGGAACGCTCGGAGGCCATCGAAAACCATTAAAGGTACAGTGTGTAGAATTCTGTGATATCTACTGTTGAAGTGTCATGTTGCAGCTGAACACCCCTCACCTCACCCTCTCCTTCCAAACATGAAAAAGAACCTGTGGTAGCTTCAGTTGACATAAAAACTCAAAAGGTTTAGTTTGTCCAGTCTGTGTTAACATAAAAAACATGGCGGCCTCCGTGGAGAGGACCCCCTCCATGTAAATATAAAGTATTTGAATATAAAGGGTCGTTTTCAGGGGTAAAGAAAACTACAATTCATACAATTTAGATGAAACGAACTAGTGAAAACATCATGAGGATTATTCTTCATTAAATCTCTGCCTATAGTTCCCTTTCACCTAAATCTTACACACTGGACCTTTAATAGATCATAATAAATGGCTTCTATTAATTCTATAAAATGTAAGTGTGCCTGTCTTCTTTTTTTTTAAATCAATTCGATCCAAATAGTTGCTGGAATCATCACAGTGGCAGAAAGAACATGGCCCAAACCATTCATTATTTTTCATTCAAGTCATTAATGACATGAATATTTGAAAGTATATAAATATATAGAAATTAAAAAGCAGTTCTCATAAGTAGATAAAAGCAGGTTTTATTTCCTCCTGAGTACGAGGTGCTGTCCCACCTTGGCAACCTCACACCAGTCCAACAAAATGCTCCAGCACAACATCTTTCAGTGTCTCATCATTTTAAATAAACCCAACCTTTCCCTCACATCTCATGATTCACTTCAGTGAACTGCACCTGTAATAAAACCTTCAGCACAGGTGACTCTGCCGTGACAGATGGAAAATACGCTCGGCCACTATGTTGGGTATCGTGTTCTCTCGTTGCAGGATGCAGTGCTGCCTTTTTCCAGCAACAAAGGACCACTCCCATGTCTCCAGCATTCCCATCCCTCCTCTCTCCTCTTGGTGAGCAGCTGCTCAGACCCTCCCTGCCTCACAGCTGCCGAGGAGGAGGAGGAAGAGGAGGAGGAGCAGTGCAGAATGTTCTCTCAAGAAGTCCTGGCAGAGGGCCATGGCCGCTTCCTGCTCTTCTCTCTCATCCCCTGCAGTTCACACTGAGCACAACAATCACCAAAGGCTGGCTGTAAATCACACATCCTCACTTCCCTGCTGAATAAATTATGGTTATTCCCACATTACGGTGGCTGTTCAGACAGAAACCTTCAGGGTTCGTTCTGCGGTGAGGAATTTTCCAGACTTACTGTAGAATATATTGATTATGTCACTATTCAAGCCTCTTTTCAAATTCCTCACACGCCTCGCAGCGTTTAAGACTTCAGGTCAAAGGGCCGTGTTTTCATGTTGTAGCTGCAGCAGCCAGACTGCAGAGACCTTCACCACGATGTCACGTAATCTGCAATTCAGGCAATTTCAGTTCCTGAATCAGTTCAGAATCCAAGGAGGCACAGCCCATCCCCAACACACACACACACACACACACACACACACACACACAGACAGGCAGCCACGTGATCGTCCCACTGAATGACATCATTGCAGAGAATCTAGGACAAAGAGGGCGGAGACGAGGAGAGCTGGCATGCCGGGCGGGGACCATGGCAGGCCTCAGCAACATGGCCGCCTGGCTGCTCCAGTGAGATGGAAGCATCTTGTGTAACAGAAGCATTCAGCCATCTTGCATCACTCGCTATGCGTCGGCTGCTCCGAGCGCTGGCAGACAAGAAACAGTTATTATAACACAATTTGCTCAGATGCACAAGAACACTGATTTGTTCTTCTGATCTGCAGCTTTACATTTCCAAAGAAATATGTCGTCTGTGCTCATTCGTCTGCGTGCAGAATAAATTAGCTTTGTTTGACTGAGGCCTTCGTTCACTGAGCATGACCTCAGACATCTGTCTTCAAAGGGTCAGTATGAAAGATGACATCACAGAATGACAAGAATTACAATTTACAAGGATGAAATCTAGATAAAAACTGAATACTCACACAGATTTTAAATATTCTGAATAAAATAAACAAATTAAACCACAATAATGAGTGTCTTTTTTTATTGAAATAAACATTTGAACAATAAATAATGTGCAAGAAAAGAAAAAGCAACAAGACATTGTGGTTATTATGTAATTATCACATAGAATACAGGAGAAGAAAGAGTGTTTCAACTTGAACATTAGTTAATAAGTTTTACAAGTTTTAATCATAGATTAGATTAGATTAGATTAGATTCAACTTTATTGTCATTGTACAGAGTACAGGTACTGAGACAACGAAATGCAGTTTAGCATCTAACCAGAGTGAAGCTAGGGAAGCTCTGTTAGTCGGTCAAAATATGGCAAGAGGCGCTGCCAGGTAGAACTATAACATTTTTATTAAATGAGCATGACCTCGAAAGATCAGAACATAAATGTCGTTGCATCAAAGCTGAACAAGAAACACCATTTGGAGACAGATCTTTAATATTCTGAATAAAACCCTAAACTAACTCCTTCAGCTGCGAATTTCATCTGTGCAATTCAATGGTCTCATGTGTGTTTATATTCTGTTTACACTGAACATTTACTGCATTCATGTGTATTCTGTCATGTGTTCTTGAGGTTATATTCCATGTTTACTTCTACTGATGTCTGTACTCGTCTTTTTCACCATCGTGGGACTGATGAAGGAGCATTTTATCTCATTTTAACTCATCTCACCTTCAATCCTCTGAGCAGATTTTTCACAGTGATCATTTTGTAAGAATGCGTTATTTCCAGTGAGGCCAGATTTGAACAGAATGACTGAACAGTGGTAGTGGCCCCCCCCCCCCCCCCCCCCCCCCTCAGTGCACAGGAGCAGATCCCGTGTATAAATCTGGAAGCGCCGCCCTCGCGTTCAGCATTTGTTGCATCGACCCCGTTGGGTACAACACGCAACGCAAAGCCACCGTTTGTAAAAGTCCTCTTTCTTCACCTCTCCTCTTCCTCCTGGAAACATGGTGAGTGTCAGCTTTTATTCTCTGACTCTGTGCGCGAGGCAGAAGAGAAGGAGGCGAAGCTGCTGCAGATTCTTGTTGCTGGACGTCGTCAGATAATTCATCAAACAGCCTCTTTGCCTTTACAGCCACAATAACGCGAAGTGAAGGTGCGTTGTGTGTGTGTTTATATTCAGGGAGAAGAAAAAATAATGTGGCTGCACGTTTGTGCTGCAGTGACACGGTGTGATTGTCATTGTGCAGGGAGGAGAACAATGAGTGGCGGCATCAGGCTCCAGCAGCACTGAGGATAAATCTGATTTCTCTTTCATATGTGGTCCCATTTTTTTTGTCTCTGCATTTTGAAATGTGTCAAATTTTTATGTGTTTATTAAAAAAAAGAAATGAATCAATTGACAAAAAGCCCTCCCCTGTTTCCAGGCAAGGAGGGGCAGGTTGGGTGGGGATGGATGAGACGTTGTGCTGCAGTTATCATTTTTTATTTATAAGACTCAGCAGTGGTTTTTATTTTTCATCTCATTTCATCTCAGGCTCACCCAAGATCATAAAAACCACAACATGGTGCATCGCAGTGCTTCAGTTCGAAACGTGACAGGAACAATAAGAAATAAACACAGCCCATTTTAATTGTCTTCACCCAAATTGACAATTCAATTAGGACAATGAACAGATTCAGACTGTGTCCCAATCTCTAATTGATCAGATTATTGATCAGATTGATGATTTATTTCTGATCGTGCATCCTCACTGCACTGGAGCAAGTGGAATATTCCAGGCTGATGACGTGCACGCGCCCCCCCTGCGCTCGTGCCTGCAAATGAATTTGCATTAGTGCCTATGTTTGCTAAAGAGGAGCTGGGGTGGCACGGGAGGGGGGAAAAAAGGACAAGAGGACAAGATCGAGTGGAGGAGAGAGGAGGAGAGAGGAGTCAGCCTCTGTACCCTGTCGACTGTGGTGCAGGGAGGTGCCTCATGCTGCACCGCCTGCTGATCTCACATAGGGGGCGCAACTGAGTTTTTCTAGATGCTTCTATGTTGCAGTAACTGTTGTAGATTACATGTAATCAGTGTTATTTAAATTAACTGTGTTAAGTGAACATAGATGACATATCGTCTTGTTTTCTCTTTCCACAGCGCGAGTGTATCTCCATCCACGTTGGTCAGGCCGGAGTCCAGATTGGCAATGCCTGCTGGGAGCTTTACTGCCTGGAACATGGGATCCAGCCGGACGGACAGATGCCCAGCGACAAGACTCTGGGAGGAGGAGACGACTCCTTCAACACCTTCTTCAGTGAGACCGGAGCTGGGAAGCACGTCCCCAGAGCTGTTTTCGTCGACCTGGAGCCCACTGTCATCGGTAAACTGTCATGAAATGTAGAAACCAGGG